GTGGGTCAAAAGACTTTCTGACGGCAAAAAGCTAACACTATTATCACACTCTTGGCTACATGTATACAAAATTTCGAAGAATATAATTAATCTGTAGTGTCAGAATCGCAAAAATAAGGAAAAACTTTGAATTTGACCTAGATTTTGACCTAGGCATTTTGGTGTCCAAATTTTTATGAAAAGAAGGTTTTGAGGTCCCTTTCTTTTATGGGCTTCCATTATGTTTAGCTGTGCTTAGTCTATATCTCGTATTTTACACTTCAAAAAAATATTTTTTCCCATTGAATTAACATGGGGCACCAAATTTAGCAATTTTTGAATTTTCAAAACGCCATAACTTCTGAACAGGAAGTCTGATAGAAATTTGGTTTTCAGATTCGGAATCCTGAGGAAATTTCCTATAAGACTGATATCCTGGACATTGGATTTGGAGAATTTTTTTTTGGACCTCGTTTTCGGACACTGATATCTCGAAATCGGTTTGAGATACCACAAAAATAAATCGACCTTAGACTTTCTACTTTTTTATGAGAAACACAATGAAAAAAACCCGGATCAAAAATATTGAAGGACGACCGAGAAAATCGAAAAAAGTGACAAAGTACTGAATTTGACCTAGTTCTTGACCTTTGACCTAGATAAAAATTTGACCCAATTTCCCACCAACTAGATACTGAACCTAAATCAACTGTATTATGGTACTTACTGGATACCTCATAGTTGTTGAGAAAACTCGATCAGTATAATAAGAATAAGAAGAATAAGAAGAAGAACTAGACTTGGGAAATTGAACGAGTTCAATTTCAGACTCCAGATTCAGACCTTTTAGCTGAGTCATCAAGAATAAGCTGAGTCATCCAGAATAAGCTGAGTCATCCAGAAAAAGATGGATGGATAAATTAGGAAGGTAGGATAGGATAGAATAGGAAGGAACGATAAGATAGAATAAGAAAGAAGGATAGGATAGAATAGAATAGGAAAAAAGAGATATGATAGGATAGGAAGGAAACGATAAGAAGGAAGGAAAGATAGGAAGGATAGGATCAGATAGAAAGGATGGATGAATTTTTCAATATTTTCTTCTCTACTCTTGACTTTCTATCAGGATACCATCAGATCGAGTTTTCCGAAATTTCAAAATGCCATAACTTCCGAACTGAAAGTCGGATCGGAATTTGATTTGAAGATTCGGATTCCTGACAAAATTCTACCCCTAATTCATAACTCATACGTTAAATTTGGTGAATTTCTATTTTGACCTACTTTTCGGACACGCCATAACTTCGGAACCAGAAGTCGGATCGAAATTTGGTTTGCAGATTCGGATTCCTGAGAAAATTCTATACTTAATTCATGACTCAAACGTCAAATTTGGAGAACTTTTTATTTTGACCTACTTTTCGGACACCATATCTCAAAAGTGGGGCAAAATACTTTCTGACGGCAAAAGGCTAACACTATAAGCACACTCTTGGCTACATGTATATAAAATTTCGAAGAATATAATTAATATGTAGTGTCAGAATCGCAAAAATAAGGAAAAACTTTGAATTTGACCTAGATTTTGACCTAGGCATTTTGGTATCCAAATTTTGAAGCTAGATGGCTTTTGAGGTCCCATTCTTTTAAAAGCTTTCATTATATTTAGCTGAACTTACTCTATATTACAGATTTTTCACTTCAAAAAAATCTTTTTTCCTATTGACTTAACATGGGCACCAAATTTAGCGATTTTTGAGCTTTCAAAACGCCATAACTTCCGAACCGGAAGTCTGATTCAAATTTAGTTTGCAGATTTGGATTCCTGAGATCATTCTACACTTATTTTATAACTCACATGTTGAATTTGGAGAACTTTTTGTTCTGACCTACTTTTTGGACGCCATATTTCAAAATCGGTAAGAGTAATCCAAAAACGGATGGCACACTCATGAAAGGGCTGTTTCTAAGCTACATGATGAAAAAAAGATGAAGACGTTTCGATAAATAACGACGAAGATAATAGACAGAAGGTTGAAAATGTAAGATTTGACCTAGTTCTTGACCTTTGACCTAGATAAAAATTTGACCCCATTTCCCACCAACTAGATACTGAACCTTAATTGACCATATAATTGTCTTGAAAAGATACCTTATAGTTGTTGAGAAAACGTGATCAGTATAAGAATAAGAACTAGATTTTGGAAATTGAACGAGTTCAATTTCAGACTCCAGATCTAGACTTTTTTTAGCCGAGTCATCCAGAATAAGCCAAGTCATCCAAAATAAGCTAAGTCATCCAGCAAAAGATGGATGGATGGATGGATGAAAAAGGAAGGAAGGATAGGATAGAATAGGAAGGAACGATAGGATAGAATAGGAAAGAAGGATAGAATAGAATAGGAAGAAGGGATAGAATAGGAAGGAGAGGATACGAAGCAAGGGTAGATAGGAAGGATAGGATAGGATCAGAAAGGAAGGATGGATGCATTTTTCAATATTTTCTTCTCTACTCTTGACTTTCTATCAGGATACCATCAGATCGATTTTTCTTGAAATTTCAAAACGCCATAACTTCCGAACCGGGAGTCGGATCGAAATTTGATTTGCAGATTCGGATTCCTGACAAAATTCTACCTCTAATTCATAACTCATACGTTAAATTTTGCGAATTTTTATTTTGACCTACTTTTCGGACACGCCATAACTTCTGAACCGGAAGTCGGATTGAAATTTAGTTTGCAGATTCGGATTTCTGAGAAATTTCTATTCTTAATTCATAACTCAAACGTTAAATTTGGAGAATTTTTTATTTTGACATACTTTTCGGACACCATATCTCAAAAGTGGGTCAAAATACTTTCTGACGGCAAAAGGCTAACGCTATTAGCACACTCTTGGCTACATGCATACACAATTTCGAGGAATATAATTAAAGTGTAGTGTCAGAATCGCAAAAATAAGGATAAACTATGAATTTGACCTAGATTTTGACCTAGGGATTTTGGTGTCCAAATTTTGAAATTAGGTAGCCTTCGAGGTTCCCTTCTTTCATAGGCTTTCATTATTTTAAGGTGTACTTAGTCTATATCTCGTATTTTACACTTCAAAAAAAATCTTTTTTCCCATTGACATAACATGGGGCACCAAATATAGCGATTTTTGAGCTTTTAAAATGTCATAACTTCCGAACCTGAAGTCAAATCGAAATTTGGTTTGCAGATTCGGATTCCTGAGAAAATTCTATACTTAGTTCATAACTCACACGTTAAATTTGGAGAATTTTTTATTTTGACCTACTTTTCGGACACCATATCTCAAAAGTGGGGCAAAATACTTTCTGACGGCAAAAGGCTAACACTATTAGCGCACTCTTGGCTACATGTATACAAAATTTCGAAGAATATAATTAATCTGTAGTGTCAGAATAGCAAAAATAAGGAAAAACTTTGAATTTGACCTAGATTTTGACCTAGGCATTTTGGTGTCCAAATTTTGAAGCTAGATGACTTTTCAGGTCCCATTCTTTTAAAAGCTTTCATTATATTTAGCTGAACTCAGTCTATATTTCGTATTTTTCACTTCAAAAAAATCTTTTTTTCCCATTGACTTAACATGGGCACCAAATTTAGCGATTTTTGAGCTTTCAAAACGCCATAACTTCCGAACCGGAAGTCTGATTCAAATTTGGTTTTCAGATTCGGAATCCTGAGAAAATTTCCTATAAGACTAATATCCTGGACATTTGATTCGGAGAATTTTTTTTGGACCTCGTTTTCGGACACTGATATCTCGAAATCGGTTTGAGATTTCAAAAAACTAAATCGACCCTAGCTTTCCTACTTTTTTATAAGGAACACAATGAAAAAAACCCGGATCGAAAATATTGAAGGACGACCGAGAAAATCGAAAAAAGTGACAAAGTACTGGATTTGACCTAGTTCTTGACCTTTGACCTAGATAAAAATTTGACCCCATTTCCCACCAACTAGATACTGAACCTTAATTGACCATATAATTGTCTCGAAAAGATACCTCATAGTTGTTGAGAAAACGTGATCAGTATAAGAATAATAAGAATAAGAATAAACAATAATGGCAAAAACAATAGACTCCAGATTTCATCTGGAGTCTAATAAGAAAAAGAAAAGAGGCAAAAACAATAGACTCCAGATTTCATCTGGAGTCTAATAAATAATTATGTTTGGTTATGAGTGCCGAATCTAAAAGGAATATCTCATTCTATTTTCAAATGAATACCCATGGCTCTTTCACAAGATAAGTATATTCCATTGGCCATTCGGACCTGTCGAATAAAACTTGCAAACGATGCAAGTAATATTATTTGCCCTGTCTCAACTTCATTATGTTCCACAGGGTGCATGTCAATGACTTGTATACATAAATCTTGTTTATAATGAAATGATTCAAAATGAAAGCGCTAGCAGAGAACTGTTTTCAACATTATCTGTAATATCATTTTTACTATAAATAAAAAGAATTTTATACAGGCCACAGGATGGCTCGAAATACACCAACACATTTTGTATTATGTTTGCATGATTTATTGTTACGGAGTCATAAAACTAATTTAAGAATAAGTTCAAAATTGAAGCCGTTATTGGAAATGGAAGGATAACTCTGAACAATCATTGTAAAGTCACATCTTCTTGCAATGGCCGCAATTATTAAACATTAAAAGCGCTTCTGTTTACATAAGAAGTGTAATCAAATATAATTGAGATTGACTAAACTCTTATAGTGTCAAAATGTATTTAGTCATTTCAACATAAATTTTTACCGTTTACATGTTTCAGCCTGGTAAGTCAATAAAGCGACAATGTAGTTGCGATAAATCGATTGTAAAATAAAACTTTCGTCTGAAGCTATGGAATAGTACCCAGAAGGGAAATGTCACATTTATACAAAACATGATTTAGAATTTATTAATATAACAGAAATTCTTTCAAAATAAGCGGAAAGTATTGGAATCAGACAAGACGAACCTATTCAGAATATAATTGTATAGAAATGCATCATACAAGACGCTTGGACATTCAGAGTAGAAACAATATAAAGCCAATATTTTAATCATGGGTCGTCTCAAGAAGGTCCCAAGACTTCCATTTGTGATTGGTAAACATAAGGGACTGAACAAGGATAACATGACAATATACAACAATAGCTACCGATTAAGTAAGTTTAACAATTGAAATCCAGAGTCAATAATCGATCTCACCCTCAATGTCGGGTTGTCCAAAAAATATGTTTCTTCTAGATTAAACTGTTTCTAAGACCAGATTTTGACCAATAATTGATTGATTCACTTTCAGTAGTGAGTTAGTTATCTCGGATTCTGGCAAAGTTGATCTTAATAGAGTTTACATTTAAGCTTTAGTCGATAACCAAATAACAATAGTAGTTTTCAAACCCTTTGATAAGAGTCTGATCTCGTTAGGCACATTTCCACATTGTATTCTTGCGTTGCTAAGGTCCGGGACACGCCAGGTATATTGTTTTGACCCAGCTGTGACTCTTGGAACTTGGTAGAACAAACTCAGAAGCGACCCTGACAACATAGTGAAGGAAGGTGGGATAACAGACTTAGAATTTGACATATAAGTTTGCAATTATGGCAACCCAGGTACAATATCAGCCGAAGAAAAGCAAGTAAGTAGCCACAATTATACAAACATCAATCAATGATTTCAAAAATTTCATTTATGATATAGTTGTAATCTGTCAAGGAAAACATTAACACCGACTGTATCTACAACCTCATCAATAACACACAAAACATGGACTTTACATAAAAATTAAAGTTTTTATATGATAATAGTTTAGGCCTGAGTATATTCTGTTGTACATTAATGGCTTTTGGTCAAGATATAAATTGTCAGACACACGCTATAATTCTCACGCTGCTTCAAGACTATTTTACTCATTCAACACAAAATCATGCAATGTAAAAACTGATGATATTCATAAAAAAAACATAACAAAAACGTTATCTTGAAAAGATGTTTGGAGACTTAAAGTACATCTCACCTTTTCACAAAATATCCACACCTCAGACGTATGCATCAAAATGAACTTTGCCAGAAAAGTGTATGAAAAAACTCACAATGCAAGTAAAATTAGATGATTAGATTTAGCTTTAAAGGGGCTTTAAAATGCCTCAAGTTCCAATCTAAGCCATTGTTATATACTTAAGCTACTGACTATTTCTTTGAATAATCTGCTCAAGTTATAGTTAATATAATGGTCTTCAATTCTGTAATATGAAAATACACAAACCTTCATGTTATCATCATTTTCTTCATCAACCAATTGGATTAATTGAGTAAATGTGTTCTTTAGCATGACTTTCTGGGCGGCAAGAGAACCTGCTAATTTGATGTACGATAGCACTGACCACTGGACCAAGATGAAACTGAGGGGGAAGAATGTTGATCTCAGGCCCAGTGAGCAAGGGGTGAACTTCGATACACTTCAGAGCCAGTTTCAACCACCAAGTAAGCATTTATATAGCACATGTACAGTGTTCGATTGCTTTGGATTTGCGCAGTTTGAATTAAAAATGAATAAGTTCTGGTCTAATGGCATGTTCCAAAGTGATGTATGTTTTGGACACACGGAATATAATTCAAGTATCTTGCCAGTATATCTGAATAATCCATATTGTCCACATTTCCAGGTTATGTTAGCAGTCAGACATACTTGGGTAGTTTGAGGAGGTCACAAAATCCCGGCATGCAAGACCCACAAAGCTACGCCGAGCGTCAGAGTGGTGGCCTGACCCGACTACCTGACCTTGACTTTAACACTTCCGTGATAAACGGCCTCAACGGCAATGTCCCCGGTGCTTATTATCTATCTCGTCCCAAAACAAAACCCAACAAGGAAACACTGAGGACATCATTCAATTCAAGAGCGAAGGAGGGTTTCAACTACTGGGAAATCAATAGACCAAAACCAACAACTTGTAAGTATGCTGTATGAAATACAAAGTTAACATTAGGTAATCGTTTCCAGACGCATTATGCTTGTAGAGTCAGAACAATACTGCATTGTATTTAGGTTTATGTCTACATATGTCTGCTTGATTATTCGATACTCTAATGTCAGTTGGTTGTCTTACCGAACTGACATTAGTACAGAGTAAACATTTTTACAGTCCTTTTGGTGGAACTACTAATATTGATTTCGGTGGAACACATGTACATATTCTGTGTTAACATATTTCTAGGTGATCACTAATTGCTGGATTGTGGATCGCTCTACTTTCTCTTGCACATTGATTATTTAACCTCAGGAATTGTATACTGCTTCTAGCTTTGCCGTTTCACTCATTGCATCTCTTATGCGTCATGCTTACGTCACTTTGCTTCAGGTGCCCCCTATCGAAGCAACTACCAATATTGGTACAGAACAATGAAGGGGGTTAACGTCCTTGGAAGAGTCCAGACACTAGGGCATTCATTGCCCTACACTAAACACACCAGATACTAGGGTATATATTTCTGGTTTCATCTTCGATTTTGCAGTTACGTCTGTTTTTACATTTTGGTTCTTTCTTTTTCCTTTACAGCCTTTACATTAACATTTACTTAGAAATGAATCTAGGCAGAGTAGGCCACGTTTTGTTTGTTGTTTCATACTAGAGATGATAACATTTGTTTTTTAGTTTTAGTGTCTAAATGGCGCCTTTGCTATTCAGTAATTAAATTGGTTTTCCCATCTATTTTGGTTTAGCTTGTTTTAACCCAATGAGTGTCTCCACGTGTGGATCTAAAATACTTCACTGAAATCAATATAAGTTGCTTCCTCCACTTCACTTCACTCCATTTATTTTATAAACACATTAAAACTTCTGATGGCGTGGTAGGGTGGGGTACCATGACCGACCAAGGTATAAATTAAAAATTCGTGTTTGAGTGTCAATTATACTTCATGAATAATGTATTATTCTACTTGAAACATTTTATTTTAGTTGAAGGTTCCCACCGATGACTTAATACTGCTTTTATCGAATTAAGACAATTTACGCAAAAATGAAAAATAAACAAAAATGAAAGATTAAGCTCAGTATGCAATAGGACGACATAATAAGCTACCTATTTGCCTGCATTTTTGCGTGGTATATTTCAAATCATGAATATTTCTTTTTTCAGTTGGACGATATGGGCTAGGGTCTTACAAAACTGTTATTGGAATTGGCAATGCACCAAGAACGTAAATATAAAACCAATAAGCAACCGCGACGGAATTCACAAATCTCTTATGTTGTCTGAACTGCATCTTTGGATGAGTGTCCGAGTAGATTAATTGGAACTGATGATGGAACTTATTTATCTAATACCAGGACAATACTTAGATAATCCCATGGTTATCCCCCCGGGGTTATCCCGTTCTGATAGAGCGCAATATGTACCAATTTGATTATGCCATATTTCACTAGAACATGGAGGTACATATACTCATAGACGTATAATGATCGTTAGTACACGTCCATACGATTTGTATGGCACGGTAGGCGCAGGAGTCACCTGGAAACAGTTCATTTATAATATGGGAAGATGTTAAAAAAATTACTTCAAAATAATAGTGGTTCAAAATGATTAGTCCATGCAATTCTAATGTTGCCTTGACAACTGTGATGCAGGGAACTCGCGGCGGGACTTCCTACGACCTTGATTTACTCGGAGACAAGGGAAATGGAGTTATGGAATAGATTCATTTAATTTGACAGTTAATAGACAAACAATCCCAGTGAATGAGTTAGGGTCATGACTGTGAAAAGGAAGTAATTAAAGATACATTTTGAAGTTGATACCATTGGGAATGGTCCAACTCGTGGAGAACATTTACAAAAAGGGGTTCAATAATACTGAATGTATTATCTTACTTTGTGCATGTACAATATTGTTAAATTCTGGATAAACAGTTATATCTACAGTATTATTTTATAGTATTAATTTTAACAGTATTATCTTACAAATCTGTGCATGTACAACATTGTTTAATTCTGGATAAACAGTTATATCTACAGTATTATTTTATAGTATTTAGTGTAACAGTATGTAAACAAATTTTAATGTAAATAAACTGTATATAATTTTGTATATTTTTGAATAAATATCTAAAAATAAAATGCAGTTTGTTTTAGTTCAGCTGATCATTGTTGAAAGATGGATGTCTTTGTTTGACCAGATATAATAAAATGAAAGAATTTTTCAATCATAGCATCGAGGTTAATTTGTTATGATTCTTATATTTTGACAACAATTTTAAAGAGCCATTTTCATTTGAAGGTCGTTCTTTTATTTCATTAACTAGTCGACTATACTATTTACCTGAATTTGAGACTACACCTTGCCTAATGTATGATAATATTGTGTACCAACACCTCCTAATATCAAGATATTAAACATACAGTCAATATGAGTCATAAGCATTATCTATGGCGAGTCCAAAGTTCCTTAATTCTCTCTTTGTAGGAAACGGTCACGTTAAACCTAACATTACAAGGAACTATAAAAGAAATATACATCATGAATCAGCATCTTATATGAAATATATATTTATTTGAAATGGATTCCTGCTGGATATATCTTTACCATTCTCTACACACATTTTGATATTCACTTGTTTTCAACAGAAGGTATGTAACATACATGTATAATATAGCATAATCAAATATATTCACTTTTATAATGAATGTAAATGTATTTTGAGTTGTTCGATGTCGTGTCTTTTTCTCCCTAATTTGTATAGCTCTCCACTGGATGTAATAAACAGGCCTGTCAACTGTCCCGCAATTTGCGTATTTGTCACGCATTTGCTGAAGAATTTGAAGTCACGCCAGTTATTTTTGCGTGACAGAAAATGTCACGCAAATACGCATTTTACCTGGTAACTGTCAAGCAAAAATATTTAGTAGAAAAATTTCTAAAAAAGATCGTCTACACAGCAAAAATACGAACGCTGGAAAAAAATGTACGCATTTAGTTCGGACTTTTCACGCGAATTACGTATATGTCACGCATTCCGTTCGAAATTATTCCTACCCTGGTGAGGTTTTCTGCATTTCAATGAGACCATCTCTCGAAATTTCCACATTTTCTGAATTATAAATTAATAGATCCAAACACATAATTATAATATAAACTGAATGTACTGTAATATGCATAACGCCGACTTCGATTGTAGAATCCGAGACGTATGATAATGTCCATCAACCTAGCGATCACATTGATCTCAACATGGCTGCATGTTGCCTCAACACTACCCGTCCTTTATAATGAAAATGTCACCACTCCCGTTGTCACTGTCACTACAGTTCAGCAGGAATGGACGGCTAGGGATTTTCCTGATCCACAGAAAGACCTCGAAAGATGTGGAAGACGCGGAAAGAGAAGTTGGGTCTGTGATCCAAACGGAGTAATCTCTTATGAAGAAGGTATAGTCAATGATTAAAAATAAATCAGCATGTTTCACTTGCTAGAACGATCAGATATGTATGCATTAAATCATCACCATGCCTCTCCTCATACTAGGACCAGTTGATCTAGTTTTCACAATGTGAGCGAGGTTAATATAAATAAAATGGGATATAAACTTGACGTATGACTTGATAGAACTGAATACTACCTAACTCAAAGAATTGAGCTCATATTTGACTGGGGATGGCTTAAAGAATGATGTATCTAAAAATATTGTGAAATGTTGGTGTAGGATTCCTAATTTCTGTACATCACGCCCGGTGATCGTACAAAATGGATGGAGGGGGAGTAGGCGATTTCTGCAAACTCAACTTTGGAAGATTTGTTTTTTCAAGAGGAAAATTACAACTTAATTGCCAAATATATAGTGAGTTAGTTAGTGCATGGCAAAAATATGTTAGGTCTTCTAGTATTTTTTTTGAACTGATACGCTTCTAAGATATGAGTTCTATTAACCCTACTATCACACCAAACTAGTTCTCACTACGTTCTCGAAAACTGGCTTAAACTGTGCACGAACGGATTTGACGTACTAAGAACCAACTAAGAACCGTTTGGGATCTGTTTACAAACTTCATGAAACTACTAGAACGAGTAGGTCCTCCACAACTTAGAGCATGCTCAAAATTTTCTGGTGGTCGTCAAAACGTTGCCGAATCGGGTTTAAACTGTGTGCGAACTGAATGAACGTAGCTACAACGTTCTACGGTCTGTTTACGAACTTCATGGACTTTCCCGGACGGGGAATGTGATTTAGAATTTTGAATCGATTCAAAATTCGATGGCGACCATGCCGTTCTGTAATCAGGTCATGATGACCTTCTACACTAAGGGGCGGTTTATACTACGTTGCACACCGACGTGGTGCGACCTGAACGAACTGCGAATGAGATGGACGTATTGAAGACTGTTTATGAACGAAGTAGCTAATTATTTTAGAGATATATCCCGACCGCAGCCAGATTGAGCCCGTTTTACGACATTTTCGTAGGACTGGCAAGAACGGGTAAGAACTAGTTTGGTGTGATAGGGGGGTAAGACGCATCATCACCAACGTGCAAAAGTCAATGTTTTTTGCTATAAATCAGGCAACAATGGTCTACACGACCTGTAATAAATAGGTATAAGGGACGTTATTATCAAAACACTAATGCCATTGCTCACTTTTTAAAGTTATTTTCCATGCGTTATACAAAAAATAATCGCTAACTCTACTATCACACCAAACTAGTTCTCACTACGTTCTCGAAAACGGGCTTCAACTGTGTACGAACGGACTGGACCTACTAAGAAACGTTTGGGATCTTTTTACAAACTTCATCGAACGTACTCGAACGGGTAGGTTCTCTAGAACTTAGACAATGCTCAAAATGTTCTCGTGGTCGTCACGTTCTACAATTAGAACGAGTGACAACGTACTAACGACGAACTGGACGTACTACGAACGGAACCGTCGTACTTCAATCCTACTAGGGACGTTTTAACAACGAGTTGAACTGTCTGAGGACGTGTTGAGAACGAGGTAGAACTAATTGCAAACAGGTTTAAACTGATTAAGAACGTATTTAACACTGCATATGAACGAGTTAGCAAAAATATAGCTATCACACCAAACAAGTTGCCACTGCGTTCTTCAAAACTGGTTTTAAACTGTGTGCGAACGGAATGAACGTAGGTGCACCTTTCTCAGGTCTATTTACGAACTTTATGAACGTTCTCAGACGGGAATGTAATTTTAGAATTTTGAATCGATTCAAAATTCGATGGCGACCATACCGTTCTGTAATCAGGTCATGTTGACCTTCTAGACCAAGGGACGCGTTCTACGACGTTGCACACCGACGTGGTGCGACCTGAACGAACTGCGAACGAGATGGACGTATTGAAGACTGTTTAAGAACGAAGAAGCTAGTTATTTCAGACATATTTCCCGACCACAGCCAGATTGAGCCCGTTTTACGACATTTTCGTAGGACTGGCAAGAACGGGTAAGAACTAGTTTGGTGTGACAGGGGGGTAAAGAGAGCTTCGTATTTAACTGGACTCTGCGCGCAGGGTAAGATCAAACGTACCGAATAATACAAAAAATACAAATAACAAATATAAAAATGATCAAAAAATCTATGGGGTGAGTAAGGTTGATCTGTCTGAATTTTCTCCGGCCAGGCCAAGGAATTGGACATGATTTTGGGAGAGTTCCATCTCAGTGATCATGGAATAAAACGTTATTCAATGATTTCTCGTGAAATACAGAAAATATTCTTCCCTTCAAATGTTCACATGCGCATCTGTTTTTAGCTGATAAATTAGATTCCATCATCAACGACGTCCGGTCTAAAGCAAAGTGCGCCTGTGGATCGTGCCCGTCAGATGGCAGAGGGCGCTACGCCATTGCTGTTGCTTTTGTCAACAAGCTGAACCTTGAAGGGTATGACTGTACTTTGAATAAACTAAATAAATATTATGTGCTAATCATCACACGATGATAATGCTTCCGACTACAGCATCTGAATACAAAGTGAAGTTTGTGAAGAATAATACTCGATTTTAAGCACTGAAGAACTGGCGAGTCCTCCACGAGTCGTCATCTTTATGTTATAGCCATATTTAACGGCCATTTTACGTCGGTGTATACTGTACAGAATTATCAAATGTGTCGTGCTTCCATCTTTTGATGTACTTGTTTCGAAAACCTTAGCTTTATCACAACATGCTAATAAATACTTCGATCTCATCAATTGTTAGCACAACCATTGAAGTGCACAAGAGACTAAAAAGCATACTATTTTTCAAAAATTGATGAGAGACATTTATAGTACTGTTCTGGTAAAGTATTCGTTTCTATTATGCAATACATTAATTATGCAAATTATACATATACGTGCTTTATTTATATCTAGTTCTATCATGTTCATTGTAGAGCTGAACCAACGGATAATAACAAGCAGAGGGCTATCGAAAACTTTGCATTGTTCTTGAGAACTCTGTATTGGAATTATGGGTACTGTCAGGATGGAGTGGTCATTGTTGTTTCACGAGAAGACAGAAAGGTACAAATTACTGAAAATACAATGGTGGATCCAGAAGCTAACAAGGCGGGAAAAAAATTTAGGCCTCTGAAACTAAAATTTGGACCCAAATTTTGAACATTTCAGGACCATTTTGATGATTTGGCCTAAATATTAGGCCTAATTAGGCCTAATTATGCCCAATTATGCAAAATCTTTGGGCCCAACATTTTTTGGGGCCCTAAAATGTTTTTCTGGGCCCACAAAAGGGGGAGGGGCATTCCGTCTTGGATCTGCCAGTGCAATCAATCTTGTCCATGAGATGCATATGCTAACTTTATGCATGGACTTCTAGCAATTGATAGACGTCCATGATTTGTGTTATTCATCCTCAAAATCTGAAAGTCCAAAGATGCTCTAAACTCTTTGCGCATTAAATGATATTCTGCATTCCAAAAACAATGACACGTTTTAACTAGAAAAAGACGTGTTCACGCTCAACATGTTGAGGACATATTTAACTTCTGCTTCTTCTCCATCTGTTATTAATAAGGTATGGACGTCCACAGGTGTAACACCAAGAAAACGGCTTGTAAACGGTTGCGTGGACCTTGTCTACAACAAAGTGAAGGGGAAGTTTACAGATGGTCGGTTCTATGACGGAGCCAAAGAAATGCTGGAATATTACGCGTAAATATATTTTTATTTTGTAATGTATATGTATAGTTTCCTCAGCTCGTCCGATCCATGGTTCCAAGAAATGCTTCAATTTCTGACAACCGTCCCTTCATTCGCATGGCTCATGGTTGATAACGTAAACCATCACGAGGAATGTAGCTTCACAAAATCGAGATGGAAAATATACAATTTACTGTTATCCCTATATTTTATGCTGCATGTTTCTCTCGACTTTGGACAACTACGGCAGCCGTACGGTTGTTGTAGATCAAATGTGAGTGAGGCATAATTCTGCCACATTATCGTGTGCAACTCCCTTTGATATTACAAATCAGCAAGTAAATTTGAGTTTATCTTATGTAAGAATTGTTGGATGGAATTATGAATTTTTATTTTCAAATTATACAGTGCCAGAAAGCAGGTGTCAGACCAATGGCCATTCACACGAGACGTCACTTTAATATCATTTTCCTTCAACCATTGATCTTAAATACGCCTCTTATATATACGTATACTATATCAAGTATTATAATGTTATTTTTGTAGGAACGTATTACTGGGTGGAAGTTGTGGCACAAAAAGTGGACTATCCATTGGAGCAATAATTGGCATCGTGATCGGGGCAATCTCCGGGGTCCTATTTATTATTAGTCTCATTTTGATATGTGTGGGTATGAAGTTCAACTGGGAGTGTGTCACGGGCACCTGTTTAGGGATCTGCATGGGTTGTATCCTGGGCGCCATCCAGTCCTGTATCAACGCCATAATTGTGTCAGTTTTCCAGGCAATATGCGAAGCACTGGGATGCGATGAGTGCTGTGAACCAATAGAGTGTGACTGTCTCGGAGATGAGGGGTATACCAGTAATGACGGTGGGGGTGGTGGAGGAGGAGGATTCTAGCAACGTTTTTAAAATAAAATTGGTCGCCCGTGATATTATACAATATAAATAATATTTGTCTTTCCTAGTGGTCTTGAATTAAGTTTCTTTCTACACAAATCAACATACCCGAGATAATGTCATATTTTGTATAATAAATAAATCGTTTTATATTAAAAAAATAAGAATCTTTTTGTTAGCATATAATGAATCCGAAAATGTGCAAGGTCTCATGTCACAGAAATTGGGCATAAAAGTATCATTACATTCACTAAGTAATAGCTATAGATGATATCAAATCACATGTCATTAGAAACATTTGATTTCCAACAAACGGAATTCAATATACCAGATAGAACTTCAACTTTATTTTTTGTAAAACAGGTCAGAATTAATTAATTTAGAGATTCGACATCACGTCAGCCAAAACCAGTAGTTCGGTCAGTCGCAGGACATGTTTATACTTATCATTTATTCTGTATGTAAGATATGCATTCAATTATCTTGACAAATCGTGGTGACAGAATATGCGTTTACGATATATCACATTAGGGGGCCCTATATGATGCTGTAAAAGAAACGGATAATGCAGATCTGGATAATATCCATGGAAATGGCCTTCAGGACTGTCAATAGATGGCGAAAAATTCAGTGGGTTTAGTAGCATACTTTAACATGTCAAAATTGTTCCAAAAATCTCCTAGATGAATTTTATTAAAGATATTCAAAACCTTTTAATAAACAGAGGATATCCTATGATTTATGAGTGATATGATTTTTATCCACGAATGGATATGATATCTGCACGAGCGAGCGTAGCGAGAGAGTGCAGATATCAATATCCATGAGTGGATTAAAATCATATCACGAGTAAATCATAGGATGTTCTTTTTATTCCATAGTTAAAGTCATCGTCAGAATCGTCGGAAATTAAGTGATTTAATTCGAATTTTCCAAACGATCCGGCGATGTTGACACTTAGCCTCGTTTTGAGTCTGAAGTAGCAAAAATCCATAAACCATCCAGCTGATACGCAGGCAAGCTGCGCGCTACACTAAATAAGAAAATTTAATTTTCAAATCACGCTTGAAATTCCCGGGGAATCGTCTAACGAGACTCCGCGAGATTTCTCGAGAGAGCTCTCTCTTTTGGAGGCATGACCCACCCCATACAAGGAACTAATGTCGTGCCATTTTAGTTTCAAAAACGAGTCTTTTCTCGACATTTTGGTGTATAGAACATTATTTTTCTTCGACGGGAAATAAGTTTTTAGAAGGCTCAAAGAAGGCTGGTACGTTTTGAGTGATAGATTTAGGGTAAGTCTGCAAAAGCGTATCACAACCGGGCCATTAAAGATTGGGGCTGAATGTTGACTTGATTTTCTTCAAAATAAATCGTATTTTTTGTAATTTAAAACAGAATTAATGTTCCCCCTGTCAATGTAGCGATATTTAACATATAATCGGAGGTAACCCAACTTCCGGTTTCAGGAATTATCGAATATTTCTAGGAAATATATGAAAAATAATGATGAATTCCATCATAATTTTTTTTTATTTGTGTTTATTTTAGGTGTAACACTGTCTTGGGGCGATTAATGTTGACTTATAGCTGGTTACTGATATCGACTACATTTTGAAGGTAATCTTTTGTAAAATCTCATTAGTAGTAATGTGTGCATCCAGTGTAGACTCTTTGAATTGTATCAAGCCTTACCTGTATCATGTCACAGTTATTCATTTTGGTCTGTTTGTGTCAGTGAGAGCAGCAGGCCCGTACCCAGAATTTTCCAAGGGGGGTTCACTTTTCCAAAAAATTCTAGGGGGGTTCACTTTTGCAAATTTGGCCAAAAATCACTCAAAAAATAGTCAGAATGGTGAAAAACTGCATGATTTTGAAAGAAATTTTGGCCAGGGGGGGGGGGGGCCCGAACCCCCCGACCCCCCCCCCCTCCCCTGGCTACGGGCCTGAGCAGATTTGTGATAATCATGACCATTGAGATTTGGACACTGGATTCCGGACGAATAGGATTTGGACGATTGGGTTTCGGACACATGGGATTCCATAGCTAGGCCCGGGGCGACATGTACAAAAATTTGAAAAGAGCCGGGAACTTGACTTGATTTTTTCATACATGTTCCTGGGCCTGTGGGATTGAATTCTGACAACTGAAATTCAGACAACTTTGAATCGGATCATTGGTGTATGGACCCATGTGATTCGAACCAATCAGATTCAGACCATTGCGATTCGAACCAATGTGGCAACCCTATTATAATCAGTTGCTGTACCATTTTTATTTTTTGCATGCAATTTAATTTCACCCAAATACCAATGGTGGTATAAAATTGTATTAATTCTGACAACTTAGAATTGAACCATTGGGATATGGACCAATGGGATTTGAGCCAATCGGATTTGGACCATTGCGATTCAAACCTATATGGTAACCCCATTATAATCAGTTGCTCTACTCCCAGTATTTTTTTTGCATGCAATTAATTACACTCGACTCCCAATAATGGTAAAATCGCAAAAGATAATTGTGGCGATATTTGCCAAATAAAGCCCCGGTGTAATATTTATACACTGTGTACTATACAATTTGATTACTGTACATTATTGAACTATTGCTTGTGCCATAGGCATTACTTTTAAAACTTCAGGGAGTCTAAGGGTTACTTAGGTTTAAAAATCTTGAAGATTCAAAGAATAGGCCAAGTCAAATTTTAGCTTTTGAAATTTGCAAAACTTATGTCAGTGAAATTGTGATTTCTCATAATTTGCAACATTGAATTGCTTCAAACATACCGTATACCGGGAAAACAATATTGTTTTTTTTCCAAAATAACTTACAACTAAGACCTGGGAGAAACAGGACTTTCCTCAAATTGAATGGAAATTGGTGTTACACTGATTGATGTTAAGTACAGGGGTGTAGTCAGGATCCAAAAATAAGTGAGGCAAATCAAAAAAATTCACTTTCATAAGACTTTAAAATATTCAGTTTCATTTTAAGGATCAAGTTGACTCAAGAGTCAATATCTATAGTGAATATACAATACATGTAATATGTGCCTGTACCAACTGCAAATGATGCTTCCACTGATGGTTTATTTTACATGATGTTTCATAGATATAGTATTCATTTTCAGATATGCTTTGACCAATGCTAGGATTCAAGCTGTGTTGCATTATGGAGCCCAAGATCCAGTTGCTGTGTACAGTGTGCTGAGGGACTGCTTGTCTTTGAACATATATGCTGAGTGCAAGGTAAATATTCCATTATCCTAGTATTTAAAATGTGAAGGTCGAAAGGTAGGTTTACAAATCTTTGTGATTCAGAGCATAGTGAAATTTAAACTAATGAAATCTGCAAAATTCATGGCAGCGAAATTTTGATTCCTCAAGATTCGCAGAATTGCATTGCGTCAAAATATACTGGGAGAATACTTTTGATCTTCTGAAATAACCTACCACTAATCTGGGGGAAACAGTGATACATAGTGATTTATGTAAAGTGCAGAGGTGTAGCCAGGATCCCAAAATAGTGAGAGAAATTGAGAAAACAAGTTTTACGTATTCAGAGTTTCATTTCAAATACAATATCTAGTGCAGTGAATATAAAATACATGTTTAACTTGTGCCTGTACCAATGGCAAATGATGCTTCTACTTGGCTTTATTTTACATGATTTTTCATTTGTATTGTATCCATTGAAGAGAGAAAAGTGAAAGTTAAATTTGTGAAATCTGGAAAGTGGCAGTGAAATTGAAATTTCCCAAAATTTGCAAATTTGAATACTGTTTTTCTTAATAATGGTACAGGTCTTCCCCTGAAATTGAATAGGAATTAGTGATACATAGCGATTGATGTAAAGTGCAGGGGTGTAGCCAGGATCCAAAAATAAGTGAGGCAAAATGAGAAAAAGCACTATTCATGGGCATTTCACATATCCCCAGTTTCATTTTAGATACGAGTCAAAATAAGTCAATGTCTAGTGAATTTGTGCCTGTGATGATGCTTCTACTCCATGTACTATGCTTTATTTCACGTGGTGTTTCATCAGTATAGCGTTCATTTTCAGCTATGCTTTAACCATTGCTGAGATGCATACTGTGTTGCATTTGGGGCTGAAGATCCAGCTGCTGTGTACAGAGTGCTGAGGGGCTGCTTTTAACATCTCTGCTGAGTGCAAGGTGAATATGCCTGCTAGTTAAAATATGAACATTAAATATACTTCGGTCAGTTTGTCAATTCTAAAGAAATTCTATGAAAGGAGTACAAAAATGGACACAAAATGATAGAATGCTTGAAACAAGATTGTGCTATCAGCATTCCATTTTAGTCTTTATTCTTATCTTCTTTATTCTAAAAAGTCTATTATAGTTTTTGTAGCAAAAAATGCAGTTTCCTAAATAAATTTGATTAAATTTTGTTGTATACTATAATATTATCCATTAGACTATGTATCAGATAATTTTTTGAGAATAATTAAGCCTGTCAGTGATAAAATTCATTTATCAGAACATTTCCTGAAAACTTATTAAAGCATATTCTGTCATTTCAAGTATCACCCAAATCAGTATGTTGTTTTTCCAGTTACCGAAATGCAAGACAACAAGTCTAATGAGATGCAACAAGTATACTGAACAGCAGAATAAGAATTGAGTGATTACAACTATGACATGGTCTTTAAAAAACTGAACTGTTTATATATCAATCATTCTTTACTTGTATACCTATCCAAATTCCATTGCACAAAAAAGAGAGGTGCTGTTTACTCATTCTTAAAGAAAAAAGTAACTACACAAATATGTTTATCGACATGAAAGTATTTTGCATTTGTAATCATTGTAAGAGTAATTAGAGGATCAGATGCAAAATGACATCCATGCAATGGGTTCTTGAAAGTATTTATGCAAGTGAAGAATATGGTCAATATGTGTAGATTCAATGATCAATCAAGATATTTAATATAGCAAACCAAACAATTTTTTAATATTGCTTTAGTATGAGAACATTTGGTGCAAAGAACATATCAGAGAGGGAAATGATGATGTGTTGGAACAGATTATTTGTTATTCACCAGATACAAAGCCTATCAAACTTAAATAGTGCAATCATTTAGTTTTTTCATGTTTTATATGCTATTGACCTGTTTTAATTGAAAGTCATATTTGACTTACTTAATGATGTTTCAATATAAATATATTACTTTTTTATATAAACTAATCTATATTTAAGTTGAATTTTGGGGACCCAAATGTATGACTAGATTTTTCATTTATCGTCAGCATATGGAAATATCTCTATGTATTTATTTTTCATGAAACTTATACTGTTAATATATTTTTACAATTATAATTCTATTGAAACTAAATCCTGCTGTGTTGTAACTTATGCTGATCATAAATCATTGGAAAAAACTAGTTAGATTGGACTGTAGGCCCAGTGATGAATGTAGACATGACCCATATGATAGACAAAGTACTAGCTGTTGACATGGTTGGTGTATAGTCCTCTATAGTTTCCATTATTTGTGAATAACCATGGTCTAGGGCCAAGACTAAATACCATTTGGAGTTCTGAACTTCTGACAAGACAATATCTGATCATCTAAAAAGTTCATGTAGATCTCATTGGTTGAGGTTGGTATGGAAGTCACTTTTACTTCCTTATTTTCCAGAGCCAATGTTATTTCAATCGGAGTTTTTATCAAAATTGATAAAAGTTTTACTCAATCTGATGATTTTGTCTAAATCTGAAAAATCTATTTTGCCCGAAGCCCAAGTTATTCAGTTTATAAGAAAATGGACAAAGTGAATTTAGAATTATCAGACAATAGCAGATAATTTTGATAACTTGTCGATTATTGATAATTATCGAATTTATTGCTAATAGGAATACTATCAAAATTATCAGTACCAGCGATAATATTAACTTTATTGATAATGCTGATTTCTTGCGTGCCCTGTAAAAAAGTTACAAATATCGCTAAATTATAATCATAATTATTTTAATTAATTTTAGATCATAGCAGTAAAAATCATATCAGTATTACAAAAAAAGTATTCAATATGATCAAACAGGACTACTCTGCGACTTGAAAACCAATATGTTGGGGAAAATATTATTCTGATCCTAGACCTGCAAGAATACATTGTATTCTCTTGAAAGCCCATGATTTGAAGAAAGAAAACAAGGCATACTTTGACTTTCAGAAGGCATTCGACACAGTTCAACTGTCTATATTCTGGCGTTTTCATTATCTTCAGTGTTAAAATAACAATGCGTACCCTATCCTGTATAAAGTGTTCCTCTAATCATTAAATTAAACGCAGATTGGAGAAGTTATTCAGGAAAAAAATTCTTAATCGGGTTGTTCTCACTTTCTTCGTCGGCCGCCATATTGGATTTTTCGAAAAATGATAAAATATCCGAGGGAAAAAGCGTATCATAGCCGGGCCATCTGAAATGAGGATGTTTTTCCAAGTTATTCTGATTCATTGGGCTTGTTGCTATGTTTCTGTGAAAAAATAATTTCTGTTCCACTTAAAACATCGACGAACTTCATAAAAAACAAGTCTCGATTTTTCGAAATATTTTTTTGATCGCCAACCACACTTGATACGATCGATATATTTACAAATATTTGGGCTTAAAATATGCTTCAATTCATTCTTAAGACGTATCTTATAGGAATTGTATTCATTGGTGACTATTTAGGGGTGATTTTAGAGCAAATAAATCATCGATCATTTCCGGAAGTAGAAGCTCAAAAATCATGCGCAGAAAAACAAAAGTAAAGACATTTCTCTGACCTGCCGAGCGACTGCATCGCATACGACGTCGTATGTCATGGCTAAAAAACCGTATGCTATGGTTAAGTGAAAAGGACGATTCTCGGTTTGGAGAACGAAGTTCATTAATCTAAATGAGCATTATCCCTGCTTCGGACAAATTTGATTTTTTTTACATAATATGGATTTGAATGTCTTCTTTTGAATAGTCATAATTTAATTTGGGTAATATTTCTAGATTTTTCTCAAAAAAATATTAGCGCAGTACACTGATGAACTTCTTTCCCTAAATAGAGACTTGTATTTTATTAAAATCGGTCTAATTGAGCGTTATCCCTGCTCCAGACCAATTTGATATTTTTACATCTTGTAGATTTAAATGTCCTCTTTTGAATATTCATAGTTTAATTTGGGTAATATTTCTATATTTTTCATGAAAAAAAATATTAGCCCAGGAGAATGTTCTCCAAACCGAGAATCGTCCTTTGTCAAAAATATCATATTTTACCACTGATTACAAAAATACCGTTTTTATTTTCACATGTTATCCTATGAATATCATGCTAACTATGGAATAATTGATAATATGTAATGAATTTGAAGTTTTAAAACAGTAATATTTACTCACAAACCAATGGGCCAGATGTGAAGAAAAACGCAGTAGTTATTACTGCCATCTATCTATGCGAGTCCTGATGCCCATTAATCGGCACTGATTTGAAGTATACCCTAGATCTTTCTCCTTTTTGATAGCTTTCGCAAACATAGCTAGTAGTTGTAAATATTTGAAAAAGAAGTCTCAAACAACACATACGTTCAAGGGTCGAGCATTTTGCAACAAGTACTCCCTCTTACTACTAGCTAGTCACTAGCAGGCCTACTATTCATAATACTACAGTACACACAAGCAATTCATATCAGTACTGCTATTAATTATTAAACATAGAAATTTATTTTTAACAAAACAAAATTAAGTTTCTGATAATGTATATTTTTATTCTCTTACTATGAATCATGCCTATCTAAAGTCCAAATGAACAAGCGTCACATTATATATTGTACTTACTGAAACGATGCTCAGGAAGAGTTATTTCAAGGAAGATACATCGTGCAAGAACAGAACCGTCGTGGGATCAAAGAGGTTCATTTTATTCAGGATCCAAGAACATTATTGGCATAGGCTAAAGAACCCAGGTTTTTAATCATCACTTTCCGGAGCAACAGTAATATCCAGATCCAATCAGTCGATGCGGGTACGTTTGCTACTGAACATATATTTTTGCTTGTTGAGCATCACACAACATTATCGTTTATCATTTATTTTTGACTAGGTAGGGATCATTTTTCAAAGGATTTTTTTATATTTAAAAATTTATTTTGAATAGATAATAAATAAGTAAAAATATCATGAATTATTTAACATCAAGAACATTTTATACGATTTCGACTAAAAATAAGACGAAATGGACTCCCTAACTCACAGTGGGTGGTATAACTCATTTAACACTGTTTAATTTAGTCGATATTAGTTATAATTACATCATTGACTATATCTAAATTTGTTAAGCATCATACAACTTAACAAATTTTTATTGATTTGAGATTTCAGCAGGGGTCTAATAAACAAGATCATCAATTATAAAAAAACATAATAAAAAATATGATAAATTATTAGAGAACAATGTTAAGGAAAACTTTGACCTTGACCTTGGAAGGTAGGTGTCCTTTACCAACAATATCTTTTTTATTTTTCGTTGTTATCACACCAAACAGTCAGAGGTATGATGTATGTATACTTTGGCCAAATGGAGAAAGTGTGACTTTTTACCATAAATTGACGTAATACGAGGATATGAGAAACTGTGTGCTCAAGAAGGAGACACGAGACATGAAGTTAAATTGTTAGTCACGTTTAGAGGAAAACACCATTTTAAAAAGTTTTCAATCCAATAAAACTTTGTGAAAAATATTAGTTATGTAGTGACAGTCTGATTATATACAACCGGTTTGTGATAAAATTTGAGGTAATATACTTCAGATTCAGAGATCTCTTCTCAGTTCAAAATAAGGGGTAAAGGTAACATATAACTAATTCAACTGGTTTCTTGTAGGAGGGTGCACAGGGTACAATGTTATTCAGTGATTTCCATGCACTTCCAAAGTGTCTGAGTCAATTAGAAAAACTAATAAAAATATCCCTTTTCAGTTTTAGTGAGGGGTGCCATATGGAGTGCAGTCGCCCCATTTCAACGGGCCTACATATATTTATGTACACTCATTCATTCAAATTTTATTGCCAATAAGATCATGAATCAAAATATAACAAGAGCATGAATCAAAATAGACGTGACAATAAGTGCAACCCTTTGTCGAATCCTGATGAACAACATAAATGTACAATGAAGGTGAAATGATTGTGTCATTTATTTTTAAAGATTTAAACAAAAAATACAGACGAAGAGATGGTCTCATTTCGAATTTAACAAATAAGATATATATCATACTAATTACCCTTCAAACAACCAATTCATTAGTAGACTATCAGTTGTAAACTTCAAATAATATCAAGATATAATATTTTCACATTTTTGTGGACCCCTGCAAGACTCTACATTAATAAGTAAACGCTTATGTTGATAGGTGCTCGACAAGTGGAGACGTATGTAGGAATATGTTTTATCATTTAAACATATCAAAACAATTGGGGGATCGACGAAAAACGAAGTGATGCTAAAGAAAAGAGAACTAAATTGAACAATTATTTGTAATAATTATGAATGCAAAATATAGTCATACAGACGATCTTATTTTCAATTAAACAGATAAAATCAATATATCATGCTAATAACCATTCCGAAAACCGATTCATAAGTAGATAATCCGTTGTAAACAAAATTATCAAAATCTTGTATTTTTTATTTTTTGTGGACCCCTGTTAAACCCCTCAATAATAAGTAAACGGTAATGTTGACAGATCCTCAACAAGAGAAAACGTATGTAAGAATATATGTTTTATCATTTAAACTCATCAAAACAATTGGAGGATGAACAGGATGAGACAGTTTAATTAAGGCTCATCTGAAAAATTCACTATAGTGATTTTATCATTATAGAGGAAATAGTTCAAGTATTGGAAAGGTTTGAACGCTTTACAAAGTGTGTGCAGGGCTTTAGGCTTTCGTGTAACCATACGTGACATTGAGTTCATCAAACAGCGTTGTTTCATTTTAGGGGATTGTAATGTGGATAAACATTGAATCGTATGCGCCCAGTTTATCTCCTGACTATCATTTCAGGATTGCAATAAGGTTGCAACTCAGGGCAGATAGGTATTTCTGAAAGTAATCTTAAATGCACTTGTAATTTGCATGTAATTTTTAATATCTAATATGAAAGTCAACCACATCATTTAATGCATATGTATGCTTAAGATTTTAGAATTTTAGCTTCAGGATTTTTCGAAGTTCCCAACACGTAACCAGATCACAGCATGATATCGTCCATTGCATTGGTAGTTTTATGGATACATGTCGTGTCACCCAACCCTGTCCCATTGATCTACAATTTGGGAAATACTGATGCGACCACTCCAAGTGTAAGCGTCACCACGGTTCAGCAAGAATGGACAGCGGCTGAATTCCCCAATCCTCAGTCCGATTTAGACGTCCATAGATGTGGCAGACGAGGAAAGAAATCCTGGGTATGTGACCCAAATGGTGTGGTGTCCTATGAACAAGGTTTGTCCAATATGAAACATTATATAAACATACACTTGATGAAAGTAAAATAATGCCCTTGGCGTACAAATGCATCATTTAGAAATAACAAAGTAAGGGTGTTGAGACAATGGACCCATTGGATTCGTGAATAAGTATTCCCATAAAGCGTCTTCCCAGAACTGATCCGTGCTACACTCGCCCTAATGTGTATTCTATACGAACTAAATCGAATATGTTTCACCTAATTTGATATTTGTATTGTAAATGTTAATGTTCTAGCTGATAAGCTTGACACGATAATCAACGATATTCGATCCAGAGCTGGGTGTGTTTGCGGTTCGTGTCCACCTGGCAGAGGACGTTATGCCGTTGCAGTTGCCCTTGTTAACAAGCTAAACTTACAGGGGTAGGATCCATTTTATTTTCTAGTCGTTTGGGCATCGTGAAACGTACTTTTGTGCAAATTCAAGATTGCCATTTTAACTAACTTCATCAATTTCAGAGAGACGCCTACGGAAAGTAACATACAGATTGCTATTGAAAATTTTGCACTGGACTTACGCCAAAATCGATGGCGTTTCGGCTACTGCCAAGACGGCATTGTTATTGTAGTTTCCAGGCAGGATAGAAGGGTGAGTAATCCCCTAATACGGAAAATTGCATTTTATGTCCTTGTTTGTTAGTTCGGTTCACCCCATTGCCCTGACAGCCTATCCTTGTCAAACTTGCAATTTGGATTAGTCTGAATGATTCCATTGAACAATAGGAATAGGGGTCATCTAAATTTATGACCTCCTCTATGTTTTTATGCTATGTATGTATGTGTAGACACGGATAATTCTAGACCAGTGTGTATCATTAATTGTGAATACAATTTATCTATCTTTTTAAAAGTATCTATTTGACAAAAATGAGACAACTGAATCAATTTCTCCAGTGGTGTAGAAGTAATTGGTCAACTAGGACCCTGATAATTAAGACCATGACCAATTTTTATACTTTTCACTTTAAAATTTTGCTTTGATTAAGCATTTCCTTTAATTAATAGCAACATGTGTACTCCTGTATAACTTGAGTTTGAAAATTTGAAATTCATGAAAAGAGGGTAACCACACATTTCATTGACATATAGAAGTTCCAAAAGTGTCGAGCACAACGAAGTTCGGTAGAGATCGGTAAAGCCTTTCGTTTGTCAGTTAGTCGGTTCATCTGTCCATTCGGAACACCACTCGAAAGTACTAGTGGATTGATTTTCTTCATATTCGGTGGAAAGATGTATATACAAACATACTTATTGCTATTTAGTCCTATGCACATATTTTTCAAAATTAAAACGCTCAAGTTTCTTGATACTGACTTACTAATGCATAAAGTTAGTATGTCATATATCAGTAGCATGTTTTATAGGTGTGGACATCAGTTGGAGCCACGGCCAGAAGACGTCTCCCAAATGGCTGTGTGAGGCTTATCTATGACAGAGTTCGTGGTTTGTTCAGTGACAAGCAGTATTACAAGGGCATCAAAGAAATGCTGGAACATTACAGGTAATCTTAATGTTGGAATATCATTCCTTGATATAAGAAGTAATATTTAGTTCAGTATAAGTATATGTAACGATCCTTTCATTTGTAACCACGTTTTACTTTTTCTTCCAGAAATGTACTTTTGGGTGGTCGTTGTGGAGGTGGCCTTTCTATTGGAGCCATCATCGGGATCGTATTTGGGGTCATTGGCGGGGTTGCTATGATAGTCAGTGTCATCCTCTGTTGCGTTGGAATGAAGTTCAACTGGGAGTGTGTCACTGGGACTTGTATAGGAGTCTGCATTGGGTGCATCCTCGGAGCAATCCAGGCCTGCATCAATGCTATCATTATATCAATTTGTCAGTCCGTTTGCGAGGCGCTGGGCTGTGAGGAATGTTGTGAACCAATAGAGTGTGACTGTCTCGGAGATGAGGGGTATACCAGTAATGACGGTGGGGGTGGTGGAGGTGGTGGGTTCTAGGAACAAAAACAGGGTATTCCCGCTATGGGATCATTCACTCGCGATTCATCCAATACAGTACAAGGTTAGACATAATACGGAGACAAAATATTTTCTTAAATATCTGGATGACATGAATCGTTTGCACAAATTGCACGGCAGATACAAAATTATTATATTTTTCTTATTGGGATATGCACTTAATAAAGGTGTCATCCACTCATGTTTTTTGTGTGATTTTGTAATAAATACATAGAGACAAACATCTGGTCACATTTCTATTTCAGTTGAGAAATTACGATCGTTTATAGTCATCTTATAGTCATTGTGACAGCGGTCAACATTTCGAAAAAGATGCAAGATATCATCAAATAGAATGAGCAGAGAAAGTTTCCATAAAACTGAATTTAGAAGTGTTTTTTAGTGGACGCCTATAGGATATAAAACATCCAAGGCTTAAAACCTGCATTGCAATGAGTCATCAAAGAAACATTACATGAATTATTACTAGTTGAATTGTTTTTCAGAAAAATAACTTTGAAAATGTATCTGACATCTTTTCTAGTGCTTGTTATCACGATTGCTTTCAAATCCGCCTTTATATTCTCATATTTTAATACATTATTCCAAAGATGTCGCCTGGGGAATGTTAATGTGATGAGATTTCATGAATTTTTATGAGTCCATTTTTATGGAACTCGTTTTACTACATCTTTATTTAAATGTTCACATAAAACAAATGCATTTAATCTCTCGAAGGTAATATTAAACACGACTGGATATCCAAAACATCGTAAATGTATGATATATTGTCAATATACATATTTATAACTCTAATAAACATTAAACAAGACAATGTTCCTAAAAGGAAAAGGTGATTAAAGAAATAACATCATGATAAAATATATAATCATTGTTCTTTTTAAAAGTCCCGTGCGCGTTTTATGGTGTTTCGTAATAGAGTACGATGATACGATCACTGACAATAAACTTGATGATAAACCTTCCACATGTACGAGGGGTGATCCAAAAGTCTTGGACGCCCTGCTCTAATTTTGTTAGTTTTTGATAAGATTACTTTAAACTTTCCAATAATAAAGACCAACAACCTAACTACTTTGTGTATTAATTTCATGGTGAAATGATATATTTTATGTAGTTTTCTAGATAGTTTTTAATGGTAGCTTTTTAATATAGTGGCACTCCAGGAGCATTATCACATAAGCAATGGTGGTTTCATAAATGTCATTCATGGGTAAAGCGGTACGAAAAATGTGTTCAAATTCGTGGAAAATATGTTGAAAAGTAGGTCTTAATATGTGAAGATGATGATGACAGATGACACTCATCGAAAATTCTCTCATATCATGACTGGTGTTAGATTGTGCACCTGCACCTAAAGTATTTGCCATCTTAACAATTGCTATATTTAAATACCGTTCCGGATGGCAGGGACACGATATTAAAAAATATTTAGAAAAGTCGCTAAAATATATTATTTTCTGTTGAAACTTACACACAAAGTTGTTAAGATGTTGATCTTTATTATCTGAAAATTTCATGTGATTGTATTACAAAATAGCAAAGTTTAGAGCAGGGCGTCCAAGACTTTTGGATCACCCTCATATATTTTTCCCGTAGAACAATTATCCCTATCAAAAGAACCTACATCTAATTTCTATAATATCGTCCTGTTTTCTACATACTTACCATGGTGTAGTATTCGTGACAATACTGATATTTCAATTATACATAAACAAACTACATGTACTCATATTTGAAGATGCCCCTGTTCTATAAACGTATTTCTCTCATAACTGGAATGGCTCGTATTATTATATTCTTATGCAACAAGAAGGTCTGCTTCGTGCCTGTTTATTCTATTCCTTACCCAGTCCACTCCCTTTCACTCCACTTCCCATTTTAAAACATGCCACAATTGCAGTTTACTTAGGGTGGATTCTTCAGTCACTTGGATAAATCAATCGCTAATCATCTTCAGAGTGCTACATCCGTAAATGTCAGAGCAATCCTGATATATGAGGTCTGTTTGCGAATCAACTATTGCATCATTGGCAATCCGGAGATGTATTTCCTGCCGCCCCTTGATTCTGCTTCTCGCTTACCGTGGATTTATGTTTCGAATCACGTACTGCGATCTTCTCATCTTCAATGATATATTTCTCAAGTAGTACCATATGTGAAACAGATCTGAAATTCTTTGATGTCGGATATGCGTTGTATGTAGCTCAGTTTTAATAGCTTAATTGTTGTCATCCATATAGTACCCTGCTCACAGAGGCTAGTTAAACTACGAAGCTCTCTTAAGAAGTGAAGTCAAACGAATGCAAAGGGTATCCATATAGCAGTGTTTCATTGCATTTTAACTTTTTTAGATGATACACTTTTATCCTACACTTAGTGTGCTAAATGTAAAATAACATTTAAAAATAAACTTGATATCTATTGGCAAAATGAATGACTGGAGGATATCGCCACGATATACTCCGGAAAACCATGCGGAGTCGTGACGATATACTCCGGAAACCCCAATATGCGGAGGATATTGTGACGATATACTCCGTTTGTTGATTTCCTGCCAAAGTGACTCTATTTGGCATGAAATTTATTTTTCAATGATATTCTACATTTAGTACACTACTTGTAAGTGTATGATATTAAGATATTAAGAACATCCTTTGATTTTTTCAGAATATCATTTTAATCTACTCGGTGATATTGTTCGCTTTGCTCTCTCGTGCAGATATCAATATCACCTCGTAGATAAAAATGATATTCCTCAAAATCAGAGGATATCCTATAAATATTAGATTTAGTACAATATTAGGACATGTTATGTTAGATTGACGCCATGAAGGTTAAGAAGACTGTTCTAATAACGTCCTTATGACATGTACCTAGCCGACCATATGTTAACCTTGAATATCATAACCTCGTATATCGTCTAACTACACCTCTTACAGCATATCAAGTCCGTCCCTCTTTCGATTTGAATTTGAATCCAACATTATTGGACTTCCTTCCTCAATTAATCTTTCATCTGAGGAACCGGAACATTTACTTGATACTACTGTCGTTGTCCCGTTACCATTGTTTGTAGTGGTGGCCTTGGTGAATGTGATTGTTGGGACCGCACCCGTGGCCAGATACGCACTAGATCGTCTCCGGCCATTCCTAGCCTGGGGATGGTTGGACTGAGCAATACGTTGGCAGCAGGGCAAGCATAGAACTTTAAGAAACTCCTGCTTGAAGTTATCATTCAACCATCCATAAAGAACTGGGTTTGTACATGCGCTAAATAAAACCAATAGGTGGCTAATTGCGAAGAACAGTTTAGGGTTACCAAAAGAACCGATGATATCACCCGTATTGTCATTATCAACGATAATGTTAAGGGTATTCAACGGCATCCATGAGAATGCAAATATGACACCAATCATAACTAACAGAATATTTGTCCGACGTTTTCTCCGCCTATCCTGTGCTCCTTTGCGTTTCTGATAAACGGAAATTGGGGCAGAAGTTGTATTTGTTCGCTGATTGATAATACGATATCGGAGTTTGTTGCAGATGCGTGCATGAGCCACGCTGACAATAACGATTGGGAGAACGTATTGAAAGATCATTGATGCAATGGAGTAAGCACTTCTGGCCTCTTTATAGTCATGGTTCTCAAAACAAATGGTAAACGCGTAGAACTCCTTCAAGGGGAACGGTTGTGTATAATTGAAAATAAGTAGAGGGCTCGACATCATTAGACTTATGATCCATATGCTGATCAGGGCCACTACAGCCCCAACTTTCTTCATGCTCTCTTTGGTTGGATAGACTATCACTTGGAAACGGTCCAGTGCGATGGCTGTTATACTGATGGTAGACACAAATACGTTAGTGCCTTGGAACATTGGTACCATCTTACACATGAAATCACCAAGTGGCCAATCCTTCCGTAGCATTTTAAACATGTTTAGAGGCTGAGTCAACAAGCACAGCGTTAAATCAGAGATTGCTAAATTAATAATGAAAATGTTTCGTGGCGTTCGCATGTGAGGATTCCGTATCACAACCAACGTTACAAGTCCATTACCAGCAGCTCCAAAAAGGATCAATGTCGTAAATGCTGCGATTAGAATGGACTGAGTGACGTCGTCATATAGGTTGACCTTCGTTAGTTCATCAGCATGAAGATAATTATGAATGTCATCAGCACTGAGTCCTCCACTAGGATAAGAGCTATTAATGACGCCAATTGAAGTAGCGCCAAATGCTGTTCCGGACGTATTCAACGTGGTGTCAGTTCCGTATACATCCGAGATCGGCGCCTGAACGGTTGTTCGAGAGGACAGGAAAGACATAATGCCGGCAGACTTTTCAGAAGTTTCTAATTGGTGGGGTATCATATTATTCTATGAGTTACATCTTTAATGAATCCGAACCATCATCAATCTGAAATCATAGAAAAACATCGAGAATTAATGACTCGTTCATCAAACAACAATGATACACTTGTGAGAAAATATCATCTATAAATATCATCGTTCATAAAACAAAGAAGCCTCGTCTATTGATAACATCCTGTTTTCTTGACAGCATGTCACAGGTTGTTGTTGACCTTCTATAAAAAATACGTTCAATTCAAAACTAATTGCAAGCGACCGTCTTTCTTGTAGTTTACCCCTCAAACACCACGGACAGGAATTCTCAGCTGCATAATGCCCTGATATATTTGTTTTTGCTAAACATATACATCTTTAGAATCTTAGAATGAATGTTGTTATTTTCCTCAACTACAATTAAGTAAGTACAGGTGACACAAAAAGTGCCACCCACATAATTTTGAATAACTTTCTTATCCGTATCTGAGACTTACATAAAACGTATGCGATTCCTGTGACTTGTTCTTTTGCACATTAAATATATACGAGGGTTGTCCCAGAAGTAATGCACTATATGCTCTAACTTTATCAATAAATGATATTTTTCTATGAAATTTTCAGTAAATGTTCCTTAGAGACATCTTGATTAGTCTACAGATTTTCATGTTGACTGATAAAGCTATATTGATGTTATAATAAAATCAAGTTGGCGAGTTTGGGTAGGGTGGGGCAGGTTATACAGTCACATCAAAAGGAATAAAAAAATGAAAATATGAAATGATTAATTAACAAATACCATTTTGTGTAACTGTAATAAGTATGCTCAAAAATACATTTTAACATACTAGATTACTATGAGCACATGCTAGATTTAATGGATATATATTGCTCAGTGTCCAATTTCACATTTTCTCAAAATATTGCCCTTTGCATGTTATGTACTTTTAATGCCTGTGGGTTTAAATACTCTTAGCAATTGCTTCCGCTGTGACTTGTGGAGCTTTTGCCTCCCATGTTTGGAGTTGTCATCCAGGGTCCAGTCATCATTTTTAAATCTCCTCTGCCACCTCATAAATGTAGTTCTATCTGGTGTATACTCCTTTTATACTTTCTTCGTGAGAATATAAGCTTGTGTGGCTGTGAGTCCAAGTGAAGTACTCCATGGATCACCCCCATAAGAAGTTTCAGACGACTAGCTTAACTAAATGTACTTCACTTTTAAAGAACAAGTCAGAAATCATGCAGACAAAAAAGTCACGCAACTTTATGTGGGTGGCACTTTTTGTCACCCTTAATGTCGTCATTAACATGACAAAATGTCACCACATTATAGTGGCTTACAATATAATTGAGATGATTTTAAAAAATGGTCAATTTGAAGGAAGTTGAAAATATACCTTTTTGACCCTGAGAAGGTCATTGAAGGTGAAATCTCAAATCTAAAGTCAGACTTGAACTTCTGATAACTTGTAGATAATTTTTTTTTAAATTGGTCAATTTGAAGTAAGTTGAAAAAGACCTTTTTGACCTTTTTATCTTGAAAAGGTCACTGAAGGTAAAATCTTGAATATGAAGTCAGATTTGAACTTCTGATAACTTGCAATTGTAGATGATTTTTGAAAAAGCTGAAGTCAGTCTAAACAGTATTTGTTAGCAATTGGTAGTTTTAAGAATTTGTTACAGACGCCGACGGCCAACCACCAACCGCCACCCGGCGTCAAAAAGAAACGGAGACCACTACAATATGTCACCATTCATTGGTGATGACATAAAAATGTGGACTTTTATTTTACAAATCTAACTAGATTATCTTCGTGAAGTCTCAAGCGAAACATTGACACTTGATAAATCAGACCTATACTCGACTGGGTGTCAAAAACATTCTCAGCGTTTCAATACGTCTTCCACAACTCCCCTCTTCTAACTACCATTAAACAAGTCTGAAGATATTGACAGTTCTTTCAAGATTCACTTTAGCGAATAAAACCTGTGAAGAACTGATCTAAAGATGCCAGCGAGACCTAATTTGAAGACTCCTAATAGCCGTTTTCATGGAAATAGATTTGATTATTTTCTTATATTTGATTATACAACATACGAAGGAAACAGATGTGAGGAGTATACATCTTGCACTTGACTAATCTAAACCCTCGGCAAATAACAGTCGAAATGTTGACACATGCGCAGACCTCTATTTAGTGATATTTTCATTTCAAATATGGCGGCCAATCCGATGTCTGACGACCCTTACAAAGAATCAAGGCAGTGTGCATTTTTACCTCCTGTGAAATAACAAGTGGAATTTAGTAGTTGTTTTGTGTTTTATTATCATTCTGCATCGTAATTCTATGTGATGTGGTGTTGAAATGTCAGCAGAAATACATATCCATACGATAATCGAGTGAATCAGATAACAGATTTTTCGAAAACACGTCTCGTGCTAAGCGTGTAAAAACTTGTATTAACATGCTCAAAAGTGCCAATGTGCACATCAATGTCAAGCTAAATCAATGTTGTGTCTAAAACAGGTACCTGATCTACTCAAAACAGCTTGTCATTCACGTATACACGCTTAGCAAACACGGCGAAATGATCTGAATCTTGGAATTTCGTTCGAGAGCTAGTAATGTTTGCTCCGGTCTTCGTCATAAGTGTTCATCAGACTTCACGCATGCTCAGAAGAAAAACCATCAACCAATCACGTTTATAAATCAATTTTGCGCATGCGCCTTACAACGGTAAAGAAATTCGTATTTATAAACGAACCAATTTGAGATAACCCGATATCAGTCGGAGAAATCTGACGATCTACGAAACTCACTTCAAAAAATCAAATGCGGACTGACGGCGTATTCTACTATGTTTGGATCTAAGATTTTCAGTAAAGATAAAGTATTTTATGATCTTTCGAATGAGGTAAGTCTCTAGTTCGAAAGACAATCGTATCAACTTGAACACAAGTTGAGTTTTGACGAAAATTTTTAACATGCGCAGAAGTCCCATTTTCGTTGTACCATATTGACTGATAACAAAGAGGGCATGGTGTCTGAAATATACTGTGAATGTGGCATTGTGCACGTCCGTTATATTCCAAAATATGGTATTAAACGAACGTATTTAGAAAAATACGTCCTCTTCCTCAAAATTATATTTAACTCTTGTATTGTAAAAGCTTAGGAAAAAGACAAGGTATTATTCAAACAATGATATGCTAGATATTTTTATTCCTAAAGAATACCAAGAGGTGAATAATCATGTTCATGTAAAGATGAACAAATAACATCATGCTTTAATAATTGTTCAATGGAATATTGAAACCATTGATGCGTTCACAAATTTTAAATTAAACAAACATTTGTTCATAAAAAAATTGAGCATAGAGTTTACCAGTTTATTTTCTAATTTCTACAAATAGTCTGACCTTGTATTCGCGAATGCAACAAACACCTGTCGGCTACCGGATTAACCTACTATTTTTATGACCAACTCATTTAAATATGAATGAAACACTGGCAGTTACTATTTATATTTTCAGAAATGAGTTACTCATAAAATAGTTGGTTAATCCGGTACCCGACAGGCGTTAGTTGCATTCGCGAATACAAGCTAAGAGACTATACGTTATACCGAGGTCACATTTTTGCTCCGATTTATCGGCCGGCGCCCGGCCGATTGCAGTATTTTGTTCAAAACTGATTTCAAGTTGCTTCAGATTGACCAAACTTTTTTTAAATCATGTACACCTGTACAAGTTCTCAGGAGTTCACATCTGACCTCATAACGTGATATTTATATTCGCCGACTCACCAATTTTTATATATATTCTCCATCAATGTACCATCAATGCAACTAGTGAAACAACACAATAATTGTGAATTTTATATTCAATTATCATACCCACAGCTCCAGTATCCATTTACAAAATATCTAATAAATGTCCTGAGAAGATCTCTATGATCGCAGTGCAATAATTCCTGTGAAGTCGTGTCCTTAAATATCTCAGTATTTTGAACGGATCCCAAGCTTGCTCAGAGCTTTAAGACTTAGAGATGAGCACTCCGAGGCTTGATAAAGTTCCTGCCTTATATAAGGAGACGCTTGAGAAAAATGACATGCTTATTATGTAAATGTATTCCGAAAATAAGTAAGTGAGAGGACAAACCAACGAATAAACTTCACAGGCTTGTTGTAAAGACTATCTGCAAGCAAATAAAAAAAATCAGTTACTTCGTTGATATTCTGGGATTAAATAAAGAAAACTAAGAATAAGCCGATGAAAATGTTAGATACGGGTAGGATGTAGTTTCCACCTATTTGATCGAAGATGAAACGGTCCGTAATATATTGATATTTAAATAAGTGAAACGCTAATACTCATAAGAAGCTTTCATTAAATGGGATAACTACGCCACTCAATGCAGATGTACAATCTAATTGGTTATATTAAATCATTTCAAAGAGATAAGTAGAGTCTACTTAGTCCGGGTTCCTGTTGTACATACTTCCAAAACCTATTGATAATCGATATGAACATAGTATATCAATTAGGCAAAGCTAAACTAGAAAAACAGCAACTCCACGGAGTAGCAAATCCCACCGACCAAAACACATTTTGATGATTAGTGGCCATCTTGAAAATTCCCTCTTGAACAGAGCATACCAGCTTCTAAGATTTAAACCAAATCCGTTCACTGTTATTTGAGTTACCAAAGATTACATTGTTTACAAAAAATGGTGGCCATTTTGAAAAACAGCCACCGTCTTGTTTAGGAAAAATGATGGCCATTTTAAAATATAGCTGTCATCTTGAAAATTTCTAAATTAGATCTCCTTTGTCCTTAGGTAGCAAGCATATAAGATTTGAACCAAATTCGTTCACTGGTTTAAGGTTTGTTACAAAAATGGCAGCCATTTTAAATTTCAGCTGCCATCTTGAAAATTTCTTCTCGAACAGGGCTACTATGTCTCTAGGCATCAACATATAAAATTTGAACCAAATCCGTTTACTGGTATTTGAGTTATTGAGCCGCCATCTTGAAAATGTTTTCTCGAACAGAGCAACTGTCTCCC